ACCAAGGAATACTGGCGCCTTCCGTGCGATTATTGTTCTGAAACCAGGGAATGAAAGGATAAATGTGAAAAGATATCGGGCTCACGGATTTCCGGAGGAATCGGGACACGGAGAAAATATCTTCATACACGAATACTTCCTTTGCTTCGTGACCGTTGAAACGGAAACCCTGTCTTCTGCACGATGTCATTAAGCACGGTGAAGTAGAGTACTATACACGTGTACAATCTAATGCCTTTCAGAAAGTAAGATATCCAGCCAGGTATACAGTGATATTGATCTCGGAATAGTTCGGGGATTATCAGGAGTCGAGAGTTATATTAGAAATAAATAAATAAAATTATTGATTGTGCTGACAGTGTTATCCCAGTATTATCCGTATAATATTCTATAAGGACGATCAGTGAAAAATCATCGAAACTATTGGAGCTGGGATTATGGGAGAGCGAGAGTACTGTGATTCGATTTCCTGAAAGTTTCATTTTCCCTAGTGGAAGAAAAGTGTTATCTTCCCAGCAGCTCTTATATTATGAAAATTTCTAGGTGTAAGGTCTGAAGATTAACTCAGTACTCATCGAAAATGCTGAAGGCACGTGGTAAAAGTTCGGAGAAAATCTGTGAGAATCATGGCAAGCAAATAATTTATCGGAACCCTCAACTGATTAAAAATAAAAATTCCTTCGTTTTTCTAGACGAGCAAAAAAATATATTCGGCTGCCAATGCTAAAAATGTATTAGAGAAAGAAATCCTTTTGACTGCCGAAAAATCAAGAACGAAAATTTATTGAATACCTATTTTTGTTGATGGTGGTCAAATTGCATGCGCTTCTCTCAAAATCGCAAAAATTTTATATGCACCTAGCAGGTGTAGCTCAATCAATCTGTTGTGATGTTTCTGTCGTGCTTCCGGTAATTTCACTTCACTTTTCCGTGTAATTTTTTAACTGGCCGTGTTTTTCATCCTTATGCATCTAGAACCACTGATGTGGTCTTGGGTTGAACGAGGCGCAAAATAAATAGGATTTTACGCTTTTAGAATACATTGGCTAAAAATGTTTGGGATGATTTGAAAATTGACGAAATGTTGTTATACTGTGCTGTATTTAGCCGACAAACCCTCGCCGTTCCAAATGATGTGACGACATTCTGTAACATGAGAGAACCGAAGAGAAAAAAAAATGTAAAATGCACTTCCTGTTCATATCCCCCGTTTTTCCCTCGTCACCGTCAACTTGTAATTTCCTGCGTTTATCGCCATTTTTTCTGCGACGCCTTGCTAAGTTTACCCCGATTTTTTGCAGGATGGCAAGATGATGAAGCGATGATGCATCCCGTCGTGAGACTGAATAACGGTGTCTCACAAGGCGTGGGTGGTAGTGCACTGACGGGTGACCCAGGGGCAAAAATCCATATGATCGTTGTCGACGCAAATGA